TTTGTCATATTTAACTGATTTTCATAGGGTGCATATTTCGATACCCTTTCAGCATGTTTAGCATTCCTTGGATGTAAAGCTGCTAAAATTGACCAAAGGAAGCATTTATTATCAGCATTCTTTATATTTAAAACTGCTTTTGTCAATTTAATACTTTTTGGTGTGGGGATATATGACTTTGGAGTTAGGGGCTTATACTTGTAAACGTGCAACTGCCAATATTTAGTATGGTCATAAATCCATCCACTGCCTTCGGCTTGATATTTGTGTATGGAAGCATCAATCTTTAAAAGAGCATTTTCAATTTGAGGCTTTAAATCTCTCTTCTCAATGGTTAAGGTAGTAAGGCTTCTAAAATCTGCAATACATTCTTTCTCATTAACTAATTTTCCGTTTTGATCTATTGTATATTTTATAAATTTGATTCTCCTTACTAAAGTCCATTTTATCGGTAGAGGACAAGACTGAAGAGTACTTTTAAGTTCAGTTTTAATCGATTCACCAACAAATTTAATCATTGTATATGGACATTTGTTACAAGAATTGATGTGTCTTTTAAAATGACCAACAACATTTCTTTTACAGAAATTACAAGTCTTATGAGTTTGTAATATATGAGATTTTAGAGCTATGTTATTATCACAGATTATATCACAAACTTTGCACAGTTTCACCTTCATTTTATGTATTACCTTGTAGTGGCGAATCAGGTTGCTTTTTTTGGAGAGCGATGCAAAACAATGTTGACATGTGGTCTTCATTTTTATATATGAAATTAAAAAATAGTTTGGCATCTTCTATATAGTAGAAATTACATTTTGACAATTTCAATTAATGAGAAATAATAATTTGAATTAGAATTTTATATTTTAATATTCAAAACAATTTCATACAATAAGATTTGGCAATTGTAATTTTCTAAATCAAAACTAAATCCAAAATCTTAAATAAAAAATACTTTTTAGCAATTCAGATTGCTGAGTCTACATATATACAGAGTGAGTGTTACCTATTTTAAAGGGGACTTGACAAAATTATATAGTATAATTCAGCTAAGTTTTTAAATAATAACTTGTACACACTTTAGACTCAAAGTCCCCCGGTGCATAAAATTTGGCTATGTTTTTAAATAATAACTTGTACACACTTTTGACTCAAAGTCCCCCCGTGAGTGAGTTTGGCTAAGTTTTTAAATACTAACTTGTGCACACTTTTGACTCAAAGTTCCCCCCGTGAGTAAATTTGGCTAAGTTTTAAAAAAATAACGTGTACAAACTTTTGACTCAAAGTTCCCCCGTGAGTGAATTTGGCTAAGTTTTAAAAAATAACTTGTATATATTTTTGACTCACTTAAAAATAGTAATAACAAAATAAGTTACTTTTTTGGATAGAGAAGCAGCACACAGTTGACATGTAACTAAAAAAACTAAGTTAGCATGTTCTATATGGTGGAAATTACATTTTAGACAATTTCAATTAATGGGAAATAATAATTTAAATCAAAATTTTAAATTTTAATATTCAAAACAATTTAATACAATAAGATTTGGCAATTGTAATTTTCTAAATCAAAACTAAATCCAAAATCTTAAATAAAAATACTTTTTAGCAATTCAGAATACTGAGTCTACATATATACAGAGTGAGTGTTAGTTATAGAGAAGACTATGTTACCTATGTTAAAAGGGACTTGACAAAATTATATAGTGAGTATAATTCGGCTAAGTTTTTTAATAATAACTTGTACACATTTTGACTCAAAGTTCCCCAGTGCGTGAAGTTTGGCTAAGTTTTTAAATAATAACTTGTGCAAACTTTTGACTCAAAGTCCCCCTCATGAGTAAATTTGGCTAAGTTTTTTAAAATAGACTTATATACATTTTAAGTTCCTTAGTGACTGTTCAAAATACTCTAAGTGTTTAAAAATAGATTTATATACATTTTTATAAGTTCCTTAGTGACTCAATTCGGCTAAGTTTTTAAAAATGGACTCGGGAAATTAGCTACACTCCTAAGTTAAAAGAAATACAGAGTATGAGTAGCCTACAAGCATCAATTACGTCACCAATTGATCCCATGACCCGACACGCGACAACATATTACATTAGTCTAGCTTAGATGTCAAAGACTTACCATAACAAGAAGATCCAGGTGGAAGAGTTAGTGATGATTCCGTAGAATGCCCCCCTTATATACCACAAAATTGTCTAAATTAATTTAGAACTTAACAATGGAAATTGAACAAACTGAAATTGAACAATTGAATAATTGAGGTCAATCAATCAAACATATTTGGCAATTGTCTAAACCTGCCCCAGACAGACTGGCGCCAGACAGGCAGAGAATGTTGACAATTGGTTTTGATTAGGGTCATTAGGTTACACTCACAGTCATTCATTTGAGTCAGGCATAGTTTACGCATAGCCATAAGCATGCCCGAGTTCACGCACAAACCTCACATGATTTTGAAAATATACATGGGAATGGATGTGGATTTGAAATTTTAATAGAGTTTGAACATTTATATAGGCTTGTATTGGACGAGATCCAGGTCTTTTAAAAAAGTGGCCAAAAAATGAGCCATATTCCAGACGTAATTTTTAGTATTAACAAAAGTAGAAAATTTATATAGGGGTGTATAGGTCGAGAGCTGGGTCTTTGAAAAAAGTGGCCAAAAAAAGCTCTTCCATTTTTTTCTCATTTTTCCCCTATAAAAAGTGCCCTAAAAGTGCCTCTAAAACGCCGAAAGTGGGGTCATATTGTCCTATTATATCTACTCCTAGGGAGTAAAAAAGCCTTTTTAGTCCAAATGGAGTAAGAAGCATTTTTATTCCCCAGGGATGAAATATCAGCAGTTTTTAACTCAGTTGTACATTTTGATTGAATCAATCACAATATGTATTGAAATGATATATCTATTGATTTGGTCGATTGTAGCTTATCGTTATGTTGCAATATGACAAAAAATATAGTTCATCACACAGGCATAAATTGTCTTTTCAACCCTCATTGATTTTCCTACCTCGGCTTCGCCTCGATCGTAAAACTTAGCTCGAGTCGCGAAAAGAATTACTTTACGCCCTAATGGTGAAATATACTATACAGGGCGGCTGAAAAGTAACTTGCACCCCTCTTAACTTTTCAACTAATGGGTTTGCGGCAACCTTCTTAGTTATGAGGGGCTACAATGATGATGGCTAATTTTGAAAATTTTGCCCTTAGGGGGTAGCAGGGGAGGGAGTAGCTCAAAATTTTTAAACGGCAAGTATAGTCGAGTATGGTATCATTTTTCAGTCCTTGACAAAACTAAACAATTAACATAAAGAAAACCAAAATCGGACTACTAATAACAAAATGGCTCCCTAAAACGTTTCAAATCAAAATAACCATGTGGTTGGCTGAAAATAAACTTGCTCCCCCCTTAACTTTTAAGCTAATTTAAGATATTTGAAATCAGTTTTTGGCAACCTGATTCAATATGAAAGGCTACAATAATTATGGTTAATTTTGAAAATTTTGCTCTCAGGGGTAGTGGGGGTGGGGGGTAGCTCAAAATATTCAAATAGGAAGTATGGTCGATTTTGGTATCATTTTACAGGACTGACAAAACTAAACAATTAACATGAAGAAAATAGAAATCGGAAAACTAATAACAACATGGCAGCTAAAAATGATTAAGATAGTTATTAAAAGTAATTTTAACTTTTTTTAATGCCAAGTAAGTAAGTAATTTGTAATGTCATCGTAATCTGAGAAAATTAAAATATCGATACAGCATCATTGCCACGGTTTGTGCGCGATTCGAACAATAATACTAGTTGTGGTAGCCTACTCAACTGTTTTTATATTATAGTGAGTAATCAGATAACCGAGTAATTTCGTGCAAGATATTAATTTGTGAACAACATTCTCTCACCATTCTTCATTTAGCTTTCATTCATTTTCATTATAGATAATAATCTACTTACGTATCACGTATGCCAGTAGGTGTCAATTATTAATACTTGATATGCTGTACGTCATGTTTCAAGCCTAAATACGGCTCATCTTCAGCAGCATTTTTCTATGTACAATTTTCACATCGAGAGATGATTGTCGACTATATACAGACCACATATACACACAAACACAGAACGTTTTAGCATGCTATTTTTATTATTTACATGTGTTTTTGTAGCGTACGCTCGTTAAGATAATACCCGACCGGACGACATTTGTAGGCCTACTGAGGAACACGAACACGGTCGGGTATTATCTCAACGAGCGTACGCTACAAAAACACATGTAAATAATGAAAATAGCATGCTAAAACGTTCTGTGTTTGTGTGTATATGTGGTCTGTATATAGTCGACAATCATCTCTCGATGTGAAAATTGTACATAGAAAAATGCTGCTGAAGATGAGCCGTATTTAGGCTTGAAACATGTACAGGATATCAAGTATTAATAATTGACACCTACTGGCATACGTGATACGTAAGTAGATTATTATATATAATAGCATATTAAAGGTGTCAAGGCTGATTAATTTGATATTCATTTTCAGCTTTATAAACACACATATACATGGATGTGCGTCGTTGTTCTATAGAACTGTAATGGTAATTTTAGAGTGTTATTTTTTACCTATCGTGAACAACATTGACAAGTTGTTTGATGAATAGTTATTTCAGGAGTGCATGTACAGAACAAAAATGTTTCCTGTTATTTATATATGTCTATTTGTAATTTCACCAGTCGGTAGAATTTTTTATAAAAACGCATTTTCTAATGTTAAAAATAATAATCACTGATCCTAACATCCATATTTCAACATCTAATATTGGTGTTATCTAACAACCAGGGTTTGGGCCGTTCCCTTGCAAAATTACGTAAAAATTCCAAACACAATTAAAAAATAATTTCCACTCAACTTCTCGTTCCCGTCGTGTTATCCCTGTCTATTAATTGTTAGTTGTTGCACGCTATTCTGTGCGTTTCGACAATAAACTCTTACTCACATCTTAGTTTGAAGTTCTCGACCGTATCCAAGAGTACATGGCCCGCCAAAACTTCTCCCGCGTAGTACATCTCCCGCTCCAACCGGATGTCAAACTCCCGGATATAGTCCATGGTTACGTCCATGCAGACGACACACGACTGGTGGGACGGCGGGAGTGTTACCACTCAGCGGATCAAAATATCCCTCAAGTTAGCGTGAAAATCCCGATTCATCCCGCAACGTAGTATATAAAGTCCCACACTATCCCAATGTTTCTATTTGGGCTCATTGAGTAAAGTGATAACAGAAAGTGTTAACAGACTACAGATATACCATTAGCTAGTAGGGTTAATTTTGGTTAATAGTGCAAGTGTAAATGTGTGGGTAGAAGAGTCGTTATAGTGCTCGCCTTCAAATCTAAAGGTCGCCGGTTAGATTCCAAGCCAAATAATGCAATTTGTCTATAAGCTGTCAATTAATGATGCTATCTAAAAAAAGGTAGACTTTGGATGATAACTAGACCAGGGTTTGGACCGTTCCCTTAGAAAACTAAAAATTCAGTTTCGAACCATACCTAATCGTAACTACTTTGTCAAATGTACGCCACTTGATCAAGATTAGACTGTCAATGAACTCATATAAATGTAACTAAATTAGGTATTACTTTGTTACGCCAACCTTGTTGCCATAGTTTGCTGTGAGTTATGGAAGAGTTTTGCATAATATATATAACAAATGTGATGACATGAATGTAGGGCCTTCATAGATAAAATAGTAAAACTTACAATCTATTTAAACCCCCAATGTTGAGGACAATGTGCAAGAACTATTTTAGGCGCATATGCGCCATGGTATTCTAGAATGAAGAGTAAACTGATTCAATTTCCAATACATTTTCCGGTCCCAGGGCCATACATCAGCAATAACGTGAAAAATATGCAATTTTATTCTGTTGTTGAAAAGCTTCAGAGTTTCAGAAAATGGGATGCCATGCTACTCAGGGATGGTTTCCATCAATTCCCTGCTCTATTTATTTACATACATGTGATGAACGAATAATTTGGGGACTATAGTGGTACAGTACCACCTTCACAACCATACGACTCTCATCAATGTCTGTCAATCAATCAATTCTGTGCGAACGCATTACGACCTTTGTCAACTCCGATGAGATTATATATGACGTGGAATGTTACATACATTGTTTCATTGTTGATATGCGGTCCCAGTTCACAATAAAAGGGGAAAAGATTTAGTTTTCAAATTACGAACCTTGCGAATCTGTTAGCTTAAAATTGGCAGTCCGGAAATAGTAATAAGGAGCTTAGGAGTTTTAGCGCAGTTAGGTGGCTGATTTGTTTGGACCACACAACCTAAAAACACCTTATGCTCAAACTCAAACTAAACGAATTTTCTTCTAAAACCTTAAATAATCAGACTAAATTTAGGAAGACTGATGTTACTTTTTCTTTCTTCGGTCTGATAAAAAAGAGTTTCAACATTTTTTTTTACTGGTATTCTTCATAACAAACTAAGTCAAATAAAGATGTAACTAATAACCGAAACTACGATTCTTGAAACTCTATAGTAAACGTTTAAGGTGATTTACTTAGCATAAAATAATTTAAATAATAAAATACTGTACTGCACGTGAAATTAAAACACTTAAAGGTTAATGTTTTCAAACTAAACAATTTTATTTGACTTGTAATTTCTAGTTTTTAAAATATTTAGCTATTTTAAAAACTTTCTGTAACTTTGCAACTCTTGACGTATACATCTAAAACCCCAATTCTATCCCATCTTTTTGAATAAATTTCCCGAATGATGGATAAAATCCCTCTGTAGAACGGCGTTACAGCGCAGGACCGGCCACCCTCCTCCCACAACCCTAGGCGACAGGCGCCGTTCACTCCCAGGTTATCCCGGAGTTTGACATTAATGGGACAGCGAGAATCAAATCAGCTGGGATTTATTGGGTTCGTTTCATTCACTCAGTGATTCTGCGATTTCCTTTATTGCCGATCGAAGGTGTTTTCAGGTCGATGGGTTGAGTTACGACCACTAGAGCTAAATCTAAACTCAAAAACTCTCAGGATAACTAATACTTTTCAAATTAATCGTGGAAGTAAAAAATTACATTTGTTTCATTATCAATTGAGATGGGGACGCCACTTATGTGCGTATTTTAACCCAATAATAATAGTGTAGGATGAGTGTTGAATGGAGTGTGATGCCTTGTGTAGCTGTGTTACTGACTAAGATCAACCGTTTCATTACAGGACCATTTTATTGAAAGCCCAAAAACCCAAGAACAACTGTATCACCCTTCGAACCATAAAAAGCTACACACTTTTTTCAGGAGCGATGACCTTTTGATTACTAGAAGAGCAAATACCTGTTAAAGTGTGGATGGAAACACATATAAATGGAGGTTTTAACTTTCTTTAAGAAAACTTTGTCAAATTTGGTTGTTTTCATCACGTCATTTATGTAAAATGCACCATAAAGAACCATGAGCTGAATTAAAACCTAAGCAATGATAACCTACATATTCTACTGTAGAAAAAATATTTTGATGATATAATACACAAGAATCAGGTTTTCTTAAACAATTGCTTTAGAAAAGAAATAAAATTGAATATTTGTAATATTCAGTTTACAGCTTGGAAACCCTCTCCTTAATTGTTTGTACAAAATTAAATTGGAAATGTTATTAGCTTATGTTTGTCGGTTCCAACAAAATATTATACAAATTGGACAGCTTTTCACTGGTGTACAGTTCGGCCAAAAATTCTGTGCGCGCGGACTAGCCGAACAAAATCTTACGGGTACACCAGTTATTGTCAGTGTTGGGGGTAGGGATGTGTGAGTAGTAAAACAGTTGGCCGAACTGAAACAATACGGACGTGTATATGTGGGGATTTGCGAACGTTACCCTCTGGAGAGCTCAGTGGCAGTTTTATAGGACCTTGTCACGCGGGGGGGGGGGTTGGTGGTTTTCACACACCTACAAGAAAAGAGGTAGGTTCAGGTGGCCTCCTGTGGAATGGACATCTTGGTAATTTAAAGCCGTTTTGTGACTTTTTAAAGCTATTTTACCATCTTATGTTCTATATCCTATGCGGTCTGCTACTCCTGAAAGATACCGTAACCTTCACCGTTTTGAAATTAGGGAAAGCCACTAGCCAGCATAGCTATAATACTCGGAAGGCCCAAGGCCTCGATCTGCCGCGGTGTAGGCTTAGCCACTCCATCAAAAGCTACCCTTGTTCAGCAATCAAAATCTTTAATACGCTGCCAAAAAGAGTGAGAGAGTTGGACAGTGCGAAGTTCAGGACAATCTGGTAAATAGAGCCCTCTACTCATTAGAGGAATTGTAAAGGAAGTGCCACTGAAAGTTAGTTGAAAACAGCACTCCAGTAGGTTAGGAGTTTTCCAGTAGGTTAGGCAATCAAATTGCCACAACACAATAAATAAATAGGTTGTTTTTGCAAGAAGTTGGTAAATATTAGTTTTAAATAATATGTAAATAGTATGTAATGTGCCTCTGACGCAATCTATCCGACATCGTCGGTCATGGGTTAAGGACACAAGTAAGTATCAAGTAAGTAAGTAATAAAACCCCTTACCCTCTTCAGTCCCTACTTTTACGAACATATTTTTTTATATAAGTAAGAATAAGAATAAGAATATTTATTTTCCTTTTGCCAAGTACATGCATTTGGAAGCGTCAGTTAAGTAAAGCAGAATGAGATCACTCTCACAAACTCTACAAATTCAAATAACATGCTTCTACAAAGCGTACTTTAACTACCACAAGTATTGAGGATGTTTAATCAATGGCTCTAGTTTTGCCAGCATTACTTAGTTTGATTTTTATTTAACCTGAATCGGTAGGCTACCCATTCTAATTTCGAGGAAGTTCAGCCGACTATACTGAAAATATTAGTTGTTAATATTGAAGTTAGCCTAATAATGAAATATATTTCAAACAAACTATTATGTAGAAAACTATAAGAAACCCCTATTAAACATCACAATTGAATTCGACTTCATAGTTTCATGATCAACTTGCGGCCAATCAAAAAAAGGAAGAATGCGTTCTTGAGCGCATGCGTGTGATTGTCTCGCTCTCTTTGACTCTCGGCTTTTTAAATATTATCATAGATTAAACATACTCCCTAGGGAGTATGTTTAAGGTAAATGCACCAGTAGCTGACAGTGCTCCAGAAGCTGACAGTTTGAGTTTCTTTACATTATAATGTGGTCTCTTAAAAATATTTACACATGATTGCATTGTTAGAAGAACATATGTTTATTCTTGATTTGTTTACAAAAAAATGAGTGAAATTTAGCCCATACTCGCTGAATGGTGGTGGTTTGAATGCGACCCTGTCTGTACACATCACATTTAGTCGATTCCCTTAATGAAATTGTTAAGAAGGTAAGTTTAGTTTTTTGTCATTTCGCTAAATTTCTTAAATAGTATTAATGAATAGGCATATTATTTTTATCAATTACACCTTTGTTGACAATTTCATGATAAAATTGGGGTGTTAGGGGTTTTGGATTCAAAATTATATCAATGTCAGGCTTTGGTACACAAAAGCCATACAAGTTCCACTAGCTGACAGGGGATATTTGCTACTTGCACAACATTGAATTGGTTTTACCCATCGAAATTTGCATGCTATTTATAATTTATGTGATCTCAACCGCACCTTAAAATGTAATTATAATGAAGAAATAAGACCCCATAACATACATTTTAATTTTTTAATTAATAAGCCAAATTATCTTAAAAAAATTTATATTTTTTAAATATATATATTGTTTTAATGTAAATATTTTTTGTTTTAAAATATGTAAAATACATTTTTTTAATAACGTTTTACATGATTTTATAATTTAATTATTAAGTTAGATTTTATTCGTCTTATAAATTATAAAACCCTTAGGTTTAGCAGCTAGTACATTTATAGTTCCAGTGTCAGCTACTGGGACAATTAACAGTCAGCTACTGGTACAAGCAATTTTTTCACTGTCAGCCACTGGAACACGTACAAAGGTTGAATTAAGTTTAAAAATGTTATAAAATACATTTAAAAACCCCTTTTTGTATGACAAATTTGAAAACTACACT